GACATGCACGAGTAGAGGAATGAATGAATTGATGGTTTCTGCACAAAAATGACAACCTTGGATCAATGTTTCTAACAAATGAGAGTGTCGGTACTTAATTTTATTCTCCTCCATGGCATCCTTCTTTACTCATCAGTAGTCATCAAGCTGAGGTAGGAATTGACATCTTGTTGGCCGATCCTTCCTGTGTCTGGGCAGATCAGACCATCCGAGCTATCCTGCAAAGTATGCAAATAGCTCTTGGCATCTGCCCAGCCCTTATCCCCCCACACATTTTTTTTTTTACTTGAAACAGCTTGAAATGTAAAAAACATGTGTTTTTGGAATAAGAGAAGACTGATTCAAACTTCAGCTCTATCTCTTGTTAGCTATAAGTCTCTGAGGAAATTAATTCTCTGAATCTGGTTTTCTCATCTCTAAAACAGGATGATGAGAAGTATCTACTTCATTGTGTTGTGGTGATGATTGAATACGCTTCTAGTTAGTATACAGAGTCTGGCACATAGTAGGTGCTCTTTTATTTTTTACATTTTATTTCATTTTCTCATTGTGTATTTTAAAATCACAAGATAGTATTTATTTTACATATTTTTCCTGATTTTAAAATGTTCATGCTCAGGATAGAAACTTGGCCTAAACAGCAATGTCTAAAAAAAAAAAGTTAGTAATTATAACCAATATTAACATTTTATATCTTACCTTATAGTATTTTCTCTATAAATGAGAAACTTAATCTATTTTAAATAAGCATTTCTACAAAAAGAATAATCAGTAAAAAGTAATTCTCCCTTTCTAGCCTGACCCCAGCCACCAGTTCCCCTTCCCAGAGGCAACCACTCTTGTGAGATTTTAAGCGGCCCCCCAGAGATAGTCTGATTTTCTAGAAACATCTTTCTGATTTTCCTCTCATCTTCCCCTCACGCAAACACTAGCATGGTGGATGTGGTGTTTTGCACTGGAGGCTACCATTCACGTGAGTTTCCTTTCAGTTCTCATAGATGTCTCTGTGGGCAGGGCCAGATAGGGCTCTAACGTCAGGTTCTGAGAGCTTAACAGGCTTGGTCTCTGTGGTATATTTTTACTCTTTGAACTGAAGATCTGCAAACAACTAAACAGGTGTTAGAATTCTCAGTCTCAACCGTTTCCACGGTTGCTCATGCGAGGAACAGAGCTGCAGGCGGTTGGGACCAGCAGACAGGGGGGGTCTGGCAGGGGGGACTGGCAGAATTCAGACTTTCTCAAGTGTGGCATGGACCCTCAAGGCAATGTTTTCTAAACTGACTATTGGAATGTGTGGCCTGGCACAGAAAGCTCATAGTTTGCGATTGGGATTGATCCAAAAAGTCAGAGATCTGTGCCCCCTAGAATGCTCTGGAATGCAGGCCAGAGCCCAAGTCAACTTGATTCACTCTAAGGCCAGTCCTGCCCCCACTCTCAACCCTCAAGCCCCGCAGCTCTGCTCCCCTGGCGCCTGTTACCTCTCCCTGATCAGTTCTGTCCCATCCATACTCTCACCAGGACTTGCCTTCGGACTGGCCTTCCCCACCAGGCCCTGGCCTTCAGCCTTCCTTTTCCTCTCCTTTCATTCATTGATCAACAATTAAGCACACCGAGGACTTGACCCCTAAGGAGCCCCTAAGGACCCCTAAGGAGCCCAGTAGATAAGGAGGGGAGATAGAAGACTGGATTTTTTTTCCAAGTCAGGCTGCAAAGTACAACATATAAGAATGAACTGATACATCTGAGATACCTAATCTGTAAAATGGGTATTAAATAATATAATGGATATGGCAGTGCTTTGTAATCTGTGAAGTGCCATATAAACATAAGGCACTGGTATTCTTATGAGAATGATGGTAACTTAAAAGGGAAGCATGAGAACAATTTGATAACTGTACAAATTAATATTTAATTACAAAAGTGATACTTATTCATTTAAGATGAAATACATATGTATATTTTGAATAAAATATGTAAATGGAAAAAAATGCCATAGTGTTATTAGAGATTGTGATACTTTATATTATTTTTGCCTTTTTTTTTTGATTCAGAGTATCACTCTGTTGCCCAGGCTGGAGTGCAGTGGCATATTCATGGCAACCACACCCTTGACCTGCTAAGCTCAGACAATCTTTCTGCCTCAGCCTTCCTAGTAACTGGGACTACAGGTGTATGTCACCATACCTGGCTAATTTTAAAATGTTCATGTATTTATTTGTAGATACGAGGTCTTACTATGTTGCCTAGACTTGCCTCAAATCCCTGGGCTCAGGCAATTCTCTCGCCTCCGCCTCCCAAAGTGCTGGGATTACAGGTGTGAATCACTGTACTTGGCCTTATATTATCCATATAGTATATTCTCTATTCCTCCTGTGAAACCTGTTTCTGTCAGACAGCAATGTTCCCTTGACAATGAAGTTTACCACGTGACTTACTCTGACTGGAGTGTGTCTGAGCAGAAGCCTTAAGAGCCTCTTTGTGGTTCTGACATCTTTTTTCCCCTTTCTCTCATGATATGAGAAGATCTCAGGTAAGGGCTTTTCCATCTTCCTGGATCATGGAATGAAGAGCCCCATGAAGGACATGTAATGTGTGTGAGAGATTGACATTTACCATTGTGAGCCCCGAGGATTGGGAGCTGTTGTTCCTGTAGCATAATTTGCCCTGAGTGCTTGATACATGGAGAGATAACAACTGTTAATATTTTAAGCTATGTTCTTTAGTCTTTTTTCCTATGCCAATATTCCATATATTTTTTCTTTATAAAAATAGGATTATAATGTACATATGGTTTTGTGAAGTGTTTTTCTCATTTCATCTGCAAATATTTCAGTGTACATCTCTAAAAGATAAGAATTCTTCTTAAACACAACCACAATGCCATTATCACATCTAAAATGAATAATAATTATTTCATATCACTAAATATTAGTCATTGCAAACATTTCTCCAACTTTTTTTTTTTTTTGAGTTGGAGTCTCACTCTGTCACCCAGACTGGAGTGCAGTGGCCACTCCCGGCCACCGCAGCCTCAACCTACTGGGCTCTGGCGATCCTTCTGCCTCGGCCTTCCAAGTAGCGGGAACTATAGGTGCGCACTATCACACCCAGCTAATTTTTGATTTATTGTAGAGACGAGGTCTTGCCAAGTTCCCCGGGTGAGTCTTGTACATGCGAGCTCAGGCAATCCGCTTGCCTAGGCCACCAAGCCAGCCACATTTCTCCAACTTTAAACAATGTTTGGTTTAAGTCAGGGGTCCAAATAAGGTTGATACTTTGCAATAAGTTGGTAAGTCTTAAATTTCTTTTCTTTTTTTTTTTTTTGCGGAGTCCAGGGGATTTTATTGATGGTACATGACAAGGTGGGGCTCCCTAGGTTCCCCCACCCCCGATTCTTCAGGAGGTCTGGCATAGATACTGTGAAGCGGGGAGATTCTCACTGTGGTTGGGGACTCAGTGGGCAGGGACTCCCCAGCAGCTGAGAGCTTCTCTCTTCCCCTGATGCTCTCGCTTGGGCTGGTGGTCTGGGAGCTCTTACTACTTGGAGGCTATGTGGACCATGAGGTCTACCACCCTGTTGCTGTAGCCAAATTCATTGTCATACCAAGAGATGAGCTTGACAAAGTGGTCATTGAATCAAAGGTGGAAGAGTGGGCATCACTGTTAAAGTAGGAGGACACATCCTAGTGCTCAGTGAACCCAGGATGCCCTTGAGGGGGCCCTCGGATGCCTACTTCACCATCTTCTTGATGTAATCCTATTTGGTGGGTATCTCCAGATGGCAGGACAGGTCCACGATGGACACATTGGTGGTGGGGACACGGAAGGCCATGCCCCTGAGCTTCCTGTTCAGCTTGGGGATGACCTTGCCCATGGCCTTGATAGTGCCAGTGGATGCAGGGATGATGTTCTGGAGAGGCCCATGGCCATTGCATCACAGCTTCCCAGAGGGGCCATATACGATCTTCTGGGTGGCAGTGATGGCATAGATAATGGTCATGAGTCCCTCCACGATGCCAAAGTTGTGGATGACCTTGGCTGGGGGCTAAGCAGTTGGTGGTGCAGGAGGTATTGCTGACTATAGTGAGATTGTTTTGGTACTTCATGTGGTTCACACCCACCACAAACATGGGGCCATCAGTGGAGGGGACGAAGATGATGACCCTTTTGGCTACCCCTGGTAAGGGAGCCCCAGCTTTCTCCATTGTAGTGAAGACACCTGTGGACTCTACTACATAATCAGTGCCGGGATCACTCCATTCGATTTTGGTGGGATCTTGCTTCTGGAAGCTTCCCATTCTCGGCCTTGATGGTGCTGTGGAAATTGCCATGGGTGGAGTCATACTAGAACATGTAGACCATGTGGCTTAGGTCAATAAAGGGGTTATTAATGGCGACAATATCCACCTTGCCAGAGTTAAAAGCAGCCCTAGTGACCAGGTGCCCAATATGGCCAAATCCGTTCACTCTGGCCTTCACCTTTGCCATAATGTCTCAGGGGCACGTCTGGTGCTGCGTGAGAGATGTGGGTGTCTGCCAAATGGTAGGAACAGAGAGCCTTAAATTTCTTTAGGTTCTCTCTCCTCTCTCTTGTCCCCTTGTAATATATTTGTTGAAGAAACTGAATAATTTGTTTGTGGAGTTTTCCATAGTCTGGATTTGGTGATTGCATTCCATGGTGTCATTTAACACATTCCTTTTTCTCTTCTATTTCCTGTAAATTGCTGATTAAATCTACAGGCTAGATCAGATTCAGCAAACAGATTTTTCAACTCAATACATGAAGAACATTTTCCATGTCCTTTAATATCCTTATATAATATTGAAAAATAACTGTAGAGCTGTCTGCTGAACGTATGTATTATCATGTATTTAGCTAGTCCTCTAGTGTTGGGCACTTACGTTGTTTGTAGTGTTTTGGTTTTCCACACAACTCACTGGTGAATATCCTCATGGACTAATCATCTTCTGGCCTGCTGGCCCCCCTTTTATTTTGTCAGTTCCTGCGGATGGTGGATGCCTGTGCCAGCTTCCTCACTGAAGCCTTGAACCCAGAAAACTGCATTGGAATCCTGAGGCTGGCAGACACACACTCCCTGGACAATCTAAAGAAGCAGGTTCAAAGTTACATCATTCAAAATTTCATGCAGATTCTGAACTCTGAGGAATTCCTTGAACTTCCTGTGGACACTCTGTACCACATCTTGAAGAGTGACGACCTTTACGTTACTGAGGAGGCGCAAGTGTTTGAGACTGTGATGAGCTGGGTCCGGCACAAACAGTCAGAACGACTCTGCTTGCTCCCCTATGTCCTTGAGAATGTGCGCTTACCGCTTCTGGACCCATGGTACTTTGTGGAGACGGTGGAAGCAGATCCTCTCATCAGGCAGTGCCCAGAGGTCTTTCCGCTGCTCCAGGAAGCCAGGATGTACCACCTTTCTGGCAATGAGGTGAGTTGAAGATGAGATGTGCTGTGTTTGACCAGCAAAGTAAGGAATTAGTCAGGGATGCACAGAGATTCAGGGGAAGCTGAGTCACGAATCCTAACATGCTACACTTGTTCATTGTTTGAGTCAGGCAGTTCCAGCAGCCCTGGATTCGTGCTCTGTAAAATGAGGATGATACTACATTTTCAGACAGCTATTGAGAGGATTACTGAGATATGGAAATCACTCAGCACCATGCCTCGCACATCCTTCCTTTTCCCAGCTGTGTAAGGGCAGGAGGTTGCGGTAGGGGGGCAGTGCCCTGTCAGTCACCATTCCACGGGGTTGCTGCTCTTCACTCTGGTGAAACTTTACATCTCTTGCATCTAGTCTGGCCATATCTTGGTGTAGACTCTCATCATCTCCTTCCTTCCTGAATTTCTAGAAATTCCTCAAAACTCATCTCCCTGCCTCCAGTCTGGCCTCCCTCCAATTTATTCACTGGCTGAGTGATCTAAACTGAAGTCTGGTCATCTTGCTTCTGGGGTTACCTTCTTCAGTGGCTCCCCATCACTTTCAGGATAAAGCCCAAATTTCCTGCCTCAGCTCCCAGAGCCTGGCCTCACATAGCTCACCTCCTGCCCACTTGTCCAGCACTTCTCCAACCTCCCTCTTCTTCTGTAGTCCTAATGCACTGCTTGTGACTCCCCAAATTGGATGTGCTTTTTCAGCCTCAGGTCAATGCAAGCGTTGTTCAAATGCTTTTCTCCTCTTCTTTGTCTAGCTAACTTCTACTCCTACTTCAAAAATCAGTTCAAGCATCACCTTCTCCAAGGCCTTTCTGTGTTCTCATAGCATTTGGTGTATTGCTCTATCATAACACCAACTTCTTAAAGTAACCATTGAATTTATCATCTATAACCATCTCTAGACTAGTTTATTATATAGCAGGAAATAAGTTTTGTTGGACTTCTAATCTCCAGATCTTAGGAGAGAGTCCCTAATATATAGTGAGTGAGTTATTGGTGTTTGTTGAGTGACTAAATGGGTACCAGGATGATGCATAAACATATCATTTAGATCCACCTGGTTCTCCTTAACAATTCCTCAATACATTATTATTCAGAACTTTATAAAGGTAAGAACAAGTTTAGTGGAGAAGAAGTAATGATACAGGGATGGTTTGTGAACAGTTTGTACACATGAGCCCCCCCCCCCACACCACTATGCAATGGTTCTGAGATTAGCTATCAAGCCTTCTTCATTAGGCCATTGGTAGAAACATTAGCTAAAAGTGGCTCAGGAATTGTCTGTCTAAGCGTCCTCTGGAGGCTCTTCCTTTTTATGTATGTTCTTTTCTAGTTATTTTTCTTGTCCTTAGATCTACTGCTCATTCTTTCACTGTGCAAATATATCCTTACATTTTGGGGGGTAGAATTTACCAGAGCCTGGTGTTTTCTTTGTGAAGAGATTTTTAACTACAACTTGTGTTTCCTTAACAGACATAGGACTATTCATGTTATCTATTTCTTCTAGAATGAACTTTAATAGTTTGTGTTTTTTAAAATAATTTTTTCATTTCCTAAAAGTTGCTAAGTTTATTGACATAAAAGTTGTTCACAGTATTCCCTTATCATCCTTTAATACCTGTAGAATCTGTAGTGATGTCACATCTCTCATTCCAGATATCAGTAATTTGTGTCCTTTTCCCCCCCCATCAGTCTGGCTAGAAGCTTATCAATTTTATTTATTTTCTCAAATAACTAGCTTCTGGTTGGATTTGATACTCTTTGTTTTTTTTATTGTTTTATGTTTCTATTTCATTTATTTTCACTCTGCCCTTGATGATTTTCTTTCTTCTGTTTACTTTGGGCTTAATATGTTCTTCTTTCTCCAGTTTCTTAAAGTAGTTTCTAATATTGGCTTTAGTGTTATAAACTTCTCCCAAAGAACTACTTTAACAGTATCCTGTATATTTGAATATACTATGCTTTCATTTTTTGGAAATAAATCCTGAATATCAACTTGATGCCAGGTATGTCACTATGTACTACAAAAACAGTCTCTGTCTTACTAAACTTTTGATCTGTCAGAGAAGAAAGGGCATTAGCAAAATGAAGGGTTATGAGTAAATTGATGAGGAAAGCCCAGGTAACCACATGGGTCCTGTCCCATGCTGGATATGTGGGTTCCTGGCAGACAGCTCAGCACTGGATACCAGAGCCTGCATACAACTGCAGACAGGTCTCAGTCTCTGCAGCTGCTCTCAATTCAGCATTTAAACTACAGAGTCTTGATCAACTATACTTTCAATATTTTTGCTGTTTGTTTTTCTGCTTTATATGTCTAAGTCCCTGAAATGCAGGCAATAAAGGGTTTCCTCTGATATAAAAGTTCTCTACCTGTCTTCTGCACAACTGCTGCAATAAGATAGCTTCACTGCCTTTTATATTTGCAAGGGGCTGGTGGGGAGGGGCATTATAAACTTTGGATTTAGGAGGAGAGAAAAACCTGGTATCTGAAAAATTCTCTGGTAGTGGGAACCTGAGTTTGAAGTCAGGCAGATCTGGGTTTTAGTCTTGTTTCAACAGTTTATTGTCAGTGTAAGCTTGAGCAAATTGCTTAGCTACTCTAAGGCTCAGTCCTGATTTGTAACATGAGGATAATAATACCTGTAAACTGATAGGACTCTTTTGATAATTAAATAAGACAATGAGTAGAATGTGCTCAGTATAGTGTCTACTAGGTGGAAAGTGCAACACAAATGGAAGGTGTCATTATTCTCACTCAGTTCCTTGTGGTTGTTCTGTTACTCATAATCAAGCATTTTCTTTCTGTGGAGCTAAAATATCTCTTTTCTCTGTGTCCCAGGTTTTTGTGGCCTCATTTTTCCAAATCCTGCTCAAGGCACTTTCTCATTCCCATTTTATTGTCTGGCCAACTGAATCAAACAGCCGCCATGATCTCCAAGTTGGGGTCTCATTGCCAGTTGATTCCCTGAAAGTCCAGTCTGCTCCCTGCTGGAATGATCTTGGGTTTAGTAGCATGAACTTGGAGACTACTCTGTGAACACACTTCTCCCCTTAGCCTTCATTTCCCAAACTTTTACCCTCTTGTCCTATCATCATCTCTCCCTTTTAGCCTTGTCCATCCTCTAAACCAGTGATGACAGTGGGGATTTTTAGAACCCTAAAAGCAAATGTCAGTCTTCATTTAATTTAGGAGTGGTAGCTGGAACCTTCATTGTAAGAGGTCTCTGGGGGCAGAGGAAAGTTGCCCCTTCATTTTATTACCTCCTAAGCTTCTAGGGACCAACTTGGTTTATATCAAAAGTTGCTCTGACACGTGATATGGGGAGAGTGAAGGCAGAGACCCCAGCCCTGAGAACAGCTTTGTTGAAGCAATATGATAACTTCTGTCCCTTAGTGTAGGCTCTATGGACAACATGCTGTCAGTAGGGTACATCCCTCTGCTCTGATTTTTTTTTTTTTTTTTTGAGTTGGAGTCTCACTCCGTCGCCCAGACTGGAGTGCAGTGGCCGCTCCCAGCCACGGCAGCCTAGACCTGCTGGGCTCCGGCGATCCTTCCGCCTCAGCCTTCCAAGTAGCCGGAACTATAGGCGTGCGCTACCACGCCTGGCTAATTTTTTTTTTTAAATTTATTGTAGAGATGAGGTCTCACCAAGTTGCCCAGGCGGGTCATGAACCCGCGGACTCAGGCAATCCACTCACCTCAGCCTCCCAAAGGCGCGGGATTACAGGCTGAGCCACTGAGCCCAGCCTGCTCTGATTTTAACTATATGAAAATAAAATGATTAGGCCTGATTGTTGTGTGCAATTAGTTGGCAAACACGTTTGTATGTCTGTAATAAATTTGCACATGTTGGGCTTCAAATTGGCATTTGTTACGACTTTGGGGTTAACAGTTTGCCAAAGGTAGTTGAACTTACAATTTGGGAATGGTGCCACCAATCAGCAGTTCTGTAGTGCCAAGTTACAAGGCAGGTCTCAATACCCAGCCAATCCTATCAGTTAGATAATTGTGTTAGTTATCAATTGCCATGTAACAAGTTATCCCCAAACTAAAATGACAACTATTTATTATCTCACAGGTACTGAGTGTCAGGAATCTAGGAAAGGTTTAGCTGGATAGTTCTTGCTGAGGGTCTCTTGTGAGGTTGTAGCAAGTTGTTGTCCGGGGCTGCAGAATCTCCACGTTCAAATGGGGCTGAAGAATCCTCTTCCAAACTCACCCACCTAGGCTGTTGGCAGGCGTCATTTCCTTCCTGGCCATTGACTGGAGGCCCCAGTTTCTTGCCATGTGGGCATCTCCATAGCAGCTGAGCAAATAATCAAAGAAAGACTGAGAGAGCAATCAAGATGGGAGATATGATGCCTTTTATAGCCTACTTTCAGAAGAGATATATCATCACTTCTGCTGTCATCTATTGGACATAGAGAACAATTCTGGAATGATGTGGAGGGAACCACAGAAGGTGTAAATACCAGGAAGCAGGGATCGCTGGGGCCATTGTGGAGGCTGGTTCAGTGATTTAGACTGGAGAAAAAAAATGTCAGGGTCCTGGATTACCTGGCTTGGCCATTCACTTTTTTATTCATTCACTCATCTAACCAATGTTTGCAGAAGCCCACAAGCTCCAGATGCTATTCTTGGTGCTGAGGATCCCTTGGAGTGAATGGCTGTTTCTGCTGTCAGGGACTTTACAGTAAATTACAGTGGAGTGTGAAAATGCTGTGATGGGGGAATTCGGGGCTTTGGGAACCTGTGCAAAGTCAGGAATGGCTTTCTGGAGAAAGAGACAAAATGTCATGGCAAATAACTCATAATGCCCTCGGGAGGTGGCATGGGAAATCAAGAACAGGACCAAAGAACAAGATGTCAACCAGGAGTCAGGAGGTAAGATCATGTCTAGTCCAGTCCTCTTATGTTGTTTTTGTTGTTTTGTTTTGTTTTTGAGTTGGGATCTCACTCTGTTGTCCAGGCTGGGGTGCAGTGGCATGATTATGGCTCACACATCCTCGCCTTCTGGGCTCAGGTGATCCTTCTGCCTCAGCCTCCCAAGTAGCTGGGACTACAGGAATGTGCCAGTATGCCTGGTTAATATTTTGATTTTTTTTTTTTTTTTTTGGTAGCTACGAGGTCTCGCTTTGTTGCCTAGGCTGATCTCAAACTCCTGGGCTCAAGCAATTCTCTTGGCTCGGCCTCCCAAAGTGTTAGGACTATAGGCATGAGACACCTTACCCAACCCAATCCTCCTTTTACCTATTACTCAGCAGGCTATTGAGGCAGGAGAGTAGGCATTGCAAATGAGGTGGGGGCTTCTGAGTGGAGGCTGAAGCCTGGTTCTCAGAGCTGAAGTAAGGGTCAGTAAGGACTAATTCTGGAAGACTAGTGCTGTTTTCCAAGTGTTGCCCTACGACACCTAAATCTCCTCTGAAAGAGGGCTAGATTGGTGCTGGAGGCCGTGCCTCGGCTATGGGGAAGGGAGGCTTGATAGCTGGAGAGAAAGTTGCAGAGTGGTCAAGTTTGCCTTTGGTGCCAACTTATTGCTCAGATGCTGTCCTGTGAGCGTGGTGCTCTCACCATGCCTCCAAGTTCCCTAGACCACCCTTTCCATCCTTACACCAGTTGCCCATCTGCTGTCAACACCTCAGCCTCAGCCCATTGACTAGGCTTTGTCCGGCCATACCCATCCTCACTCCTTTCCCCTAACCCACAATGGACAGCCCTGCTACTAACTTTTTGGCCGTGGTTTAGCCTCAAGAATTGAGGATGCAAGATTTACTGTATTGGACTCTTTGACATGGAAAAACAAATAAACACTCTTATGGGGCAGTAGAGGTTGGGTGCCGGCTGGTCTGAATATTTGTGGCCACTGTTTGGATTCTTCACTTGAGGGCTCAGTGTGGGCAAAATCAAAGTTCCATAGTCTATTTTAGATCAGCCCAACCTGGTAGGAAAAAGTGAATGCTTTGGTTGTCTGGGAAATGGATGTGGCCTCTCTGTCTCCCATCAGCGTGCTTATAGAACCTTCCCCATTGAGCCCAGGGATCAATGAAACCGGGAGGAAGGCAGCTCTTCCTTTCTTAGGAATATCCATATGATATCTACTGCTGCTTCTGCAGACATGTCAATTCTGCAGATCTGTCGAGGGCTGTGTATGTGCTGGGTGCTCTGCTCATCCCTTTACTTTATGACCTCATGAATGCCCACTGACCTGACAGCACAGAACTAATTACAACTGTTTTACAGAGGTTGTATCGCTTCTCCAAGGTCACATGGTCGTAGGTGATGGAACCCTGGTAGATTTGACTTCCAAACTTTTGCTGGGCTCAAATACCCATGGGGTGGATTTCTTCACCGGTTGAAGGCTCTAAGGTATCATATACTTGATGTTGGGACCAGTCCCCTAATGTCCCTGGCCATACCCTGATTCCTTCTGGTTCTCTTTTTTCTGAGTCTCCAAATGCTCTTATGTGGTCACTGTCTAGGACTTCTCTTCTAGAAGGTTGATGGCGAACGTCTGAGATATCCCCAAGAAACTGAAACCAAGGGGGAATGGACAGTAGCCCAACATGAAATTGAGGGATTTAAGGTTTCACACCAGGCAGGAGGGGAAAGGCAGGCAGTGTATCTGATGGTAAATAGATCCTGACTTTTGGAAGTAGCAACAATAGGAAACATTTGTTGATGACCTATTACTGGGTCAAACACACGACACATATTATCCCATTTAATCCTCACAACAAACCTGTGAAGTAGATACCACTGAGATTCCCATTATACAGCTGATGAAACAGAGGCTCAGGAGGTGAAGTCACATGGCTGGGCAGTGACAACTATTGGGGAATTGGGTTCTGCTCAGTCTGCCTCCATAGCCTGAATGTTGAACTGTGTTTTCCTCCTTTACATACTCCTGTTGATTTCCAGATCATTTCGGAGCGCACCAAGCCCAGGATGCATGAGTTCCAGTCTGAGGTGTTCATGATCATTGGTGGCTGCACGAAGGATGAGAGGTTTGTGGCAGAGGTCACCTGCTTGGACCCCCTGAGGCGCAGTCGCCTAGAGGTGGCTAAGCTCCCACTAACGGAGCATGAGCTGGACATCGAGAACAAGAAGTGGGTGGAGTTCGCGTGCGTGACATTGAAAAATGAGGTCTACATCTCAGGTAAGCAGGAGCCATGGGAAGCCAAAGCAAGCCCCGGGTAGCACTGTTACATGCTCCGGAAGGGGAGACAGACAACTGTCTTGGAAAGACGACTGTGAATGGGCAATGATCTGGACTCTGATTGGGTCAGGATATGGAATCAGGAGCTCAGGTGATCTTACCTTGGAGAGCACATTGTTATTTAATAAACACTAGACTGGCCGGGCACGGTGACTCAAGCCTGCAATCCTAGCACTTTGGGAGCCTGAGGCGAGAGAACTGCCTGAGCCTGTGGGTTCGAGACCAGCCTGGGCAACATGGTGAGACCTCATCTCAACAATAAGCTTAAAAATTAGCTAGGTATGGTAGCGTACACCTGTAGTTCCGGCTATGTGGAAGGTCGAGGCAGAAGGATTGCCAGAGCCCAGCAGGGCGACACTGGGGTGGCCATGAGTGTGCCACTGCACTCCAGCCTGGGTGACAGAGTGAGACTCCAACTCAGAAAAAAAAATAGTTTGGGAGCATGGGAGGGAGGGGATGGTTCTGCCCCTCTCAGGCATTCAGGGATCCTAGCTCCCGCCACCTTGTGATGTGGCCACTTTCCATTCATGGCCTTCATTTAAGGAAGAGAAAGAAACTGAGCGAGTTGAGAAGGCACACCTGCTCCTAGAAGCCTCAGCCAGGAAGCACCATTACTCTGATGATGTGACCTCCCATACCCACCCCTCAACCCCTCCAGGTGCAGTTGGGCTGGGAAATGTCATTTAGCTATGTGTGCCCAGGAGGGAAAAACAGCTTGGTAATCACAGTCTTTGCCACATACACTACATGTATTGGTCTACAACTTGTCCTTCTCCTTAAATTTGTTGTTTGTTTTTTAATGGTGCACAAAAGCATGCATATTCTACACAATTAAGTCGAGAGAAGCTGGCACTTCAATGAACAGTATCATCTGGATAACATTACATGTTGGCAGAATGGATACAGTATTAAGTGATATACTGCATGCAAAGTACAGCATCATGCCAAGCTCATAGTTAGAGTTTCATTATGTCAGCTGTCCTACCACTATTGTTATGCAGTCTATTGAATAAATAAAACATAACCTTTTTCAGCTTTCTTTTTTAAATAGGCATTCTTATACACATATGCTTTATATGTACATGTACTACTATTGAAAAGTTTCCTAGAAATGATCATAATATACATAAATTGAGAATTTTTGAATATATTACTAAGTTGTCCTCCAGAAAGTTTGTACCAATTTAACCAGTGATGAACAACAGTGCCCATTTTCTATATCCTTGCTAACAATTTTTATGTCATCTAAATTCTTTTTTTTTTTTTTGAGTGGGAGTCTCACTTTGTTGCCCTGGCTGGAGTGCAGTGGCACGCTCACGGCTGCTGAAGCCTCAACCTGCTGGGCTCAGGAGATACTTCTGCCTCAGCCTTCCAAGTAGCTGGAACCACAGGAGCGTGCCACCAGGCCTAGTCAATTTTTTGATTTATTGTAGAGATGAGGCCTCGCCAAGTTGCCCAGGCTATTCTCAAACCCCCGGGTACAGGCAAGAGCCACTGTACCCGGCTGTCATTTAAATTCTTAACAGACTAGACTAGAATGTTTAAATATGTACTTCTAGATCATTAGTGAGGTTGAGCATATTTTTGTATATTTATTAAGAAATTATATTTTTAAAAAGCATTTTCTGTTCATATATTTTGACTGTTTTTCTTTCTATTGTCTTTTTTTTTTTTTTGAGTTGGAGTTTCACTCTGTCGCCCAGACTGGAGTGCAGTGGCCGCTCCCAGTCACTGCAGCCTCAGCCTACTGGGCTCGGTGATCCTTCCACCTCAGCCTTCCAGGTAGCTGGAACTACAGGCGCGCGCTACCACACCTGGCTAGTTTTTGACTTATTGTAGAGACGAGATCTCGCCAAGTTGCCTAGGTGGGTCTCGAACCGCAGGCTCAGGCAATCCACTCGCCTCGGCCTCCCAAAGTGTTAGGATTTCAGACTGAGCCACCGAGCCCGGTCTTCGATTGTCTTTTTCTTACTAATTTTTTCAAGCTCTTATTAAATAGCCTTTGCTATTTGTGTTGCAAATGTTTTCTCCTAGACTGTGGTTGTCTTTTAACTTTGATTTACATGTATATAGTCGTTTTTTTCCCTATATAATTCTGAATTTCATGTCATGCTTAGAAACCCTCTCCCCACCCCCAAGTTCTTTATTGCTGTTTCCTATATTGTCTCCAGTTACTTTTACAGAAGTTACATTTGAATTTTATTTTAATTTTTCTCTAAATGAATAGCCAGTTGTTCTAATAACATTTATTTAGTGATCTCTATATATTTTAGTCTGTTTTGAACTCTTAATCATTTTATTTGACCATTTATCTATTCTTAAGTTAGTACCACACTGTTTTTATTATAATAGCATTTTAGTATATTTTAACATTAGATAGGGGAACCTTCCTTCTTCATTCTTCTTTTTCCAAAGTTCCTTAGAAAAATTTCCAAACTTACTCCTCCTGGTGAAATTTAGAATTGTCAAGTTCTCTTTAAAAAATAAGTTCTAAAGGCAATGAATATATAGATTAACCTGGGAGGGTTGACATCTTTGCAATAATGTGCCTTTTCATCTATGCACACAATATGCTTTCCTAGTTAATCAGGTCTCTTTTTATGGGCTGAAATAAAATTATAAATTTTTTTCCTCTATTTTATAAAGGTTGCATACATTTCTTTGAAAGTTTGTATTTTTTTTTTGTTGCTAGTTAAATGCAATCAACATCTACAGTGTTTTCAATAAATAGAGATCACCATAAGGTACACAACCCAAAGAAAATGGTCAAACTATACGAACAAAAAATTCACAGAAGAGGAAGCTTAGCCTCCCTTGTAGTTGGGGAAAACCAAACTGACATCATTTGTCTCTGCCAGACCGTAAAAAACAAAAACAGAAACAAAAACAAAAAAGCCTTTCCCAATACCTTCTGTGCACGGGGTATGAGGAAGACCAACTAGCACCTATAAAAAATATTTGGCAGTACCTATAAAAACGTTCTGGGTACACTTGCCTTTGACCTAGACATCCCATTTCTGGTCCCCACCTAGAGAAATACGCTGCCACAGAATATGAGTGGTAATGTTCATTGCCCCGCTACTGCACATATATGAGTATGGAAAAGTAAATCGTTTGATGGTGCTCTATGCTGATGGGAAAAGGGGAACACAAAGCTGTCCAAATATTTGATTACAGTCACCGAAAAGTGCTCCTTTGTCTTCATCTCTCTCCCTAGCTGCTGAATTATGTACTTTTTGTTTATTAAGAGGTTTGTCTTCAGAAAAATATTTACTATTCACTCTCAAATGATCTATTGTAAACATCTCATACTTTTATAATAAAAGGCAATTTAAAATAGGTCCAGCCTCACATGTTCATATAGATCAGAGGTATTAACCAAGAGAATGTTGTAAGATCTCTTGGTCATTTTTCCAGGTTTGTACCTTTGCTTTTTTGTTTAAATAAATAAGCAAATGTAGAACTTAAGCTGCCTTCTAATTTGCCTGCTAGACAAAGTCCTACTGTCTCCGCCACCTTATTTCCTACTCCTGGTGACTACAAACACTGAATCCAGGTGCCTTCTGGCCCCCATCCACCCAGGCTGATTTGGGTCCTGCCTCCTTGAAGCCTTCTCTGGACCTTCTTCCTGTGCTCACTCAGTCACCTCTTCTCTGAACTCAGAGTGCTTTCAGGTGGCATATGCCATAGTCTGGCACCCTAGCCTTGCACTGCCTCTTCCTGTTCCCCTGTGTTTGCCTTGTCTCCCCTCAACAGACCACACATGCCTGCACGATTTCGTTTGTCTCCCCTTAGAGTCAGGTTGGTTTGGGGTCTCAGCAATTCTGGACACATGGGAAATTATGGGAGACACACTATTTCTAATATAGCTGGTGGTTTCTTACATGCTTTGTATCTCTTGTAGGTGGCAAAGAAACACAGCATGATGTTTGGAAGTATAATTCCTCCATCAACAAATGGATTCAGATTGAGTATTTAAACATAGGCCGCTGGAGGCATAAGATGGTGGTGCTGGGAGGCAGGGTCTATGTGATCGGTGGCTTCGATGGCTTACAGAGGATCAACAACGTGGAGACCTACGACCCCTTCCATAACTGCTGGTCAGAGGTATTAGAGATGATCTCTATGAGTAACTCCGTATTATGACTTCAGAGTTGTTCTTTTTTAAAAGAAAGAAAGAAAGAAAGAAAGACAAAGAAAGAAAGACACAAAGAAAGACACAAAGAGAAAAATGGTACATGCCTGCAGTAGCAACCGGCTTTCTGATCACTTATTTTTGGTGGCTCTGAGCTTCCCTCCTCCTAGGAGCCATAGCTTCAATATTGCTGATCAAGTCAGAGAAACAATGTCCTTCCAAGTGGTGAAGCTCTGTGTGGGCACCTGTCCTATCCCAGTCGGAAGTCCAGATGTGGAGGGGAGGCTCACTCTGCTCTTAGATGGTGGATCCTGGTTCACATGCCTTGGCCCAGAGTCTTGTCTCCTAAGATGCCCTCTGTCCTGTCTTCCTCCACACCGGACACACAGGGTTCCCTTTACTACACTGTCTGTGAACCCAGAGTTATTTGTTCATGTTAGAAATCTGCCTTTATTTATTTTCCCATTAATGATGAACCATTTACATACCTGCCTGCAAGACCTTAGCAATGCAACTTCAGATATATATCATACCCAGGAAAATAAAAGCTACCTCAGCTCTTGCATTTCCAGGTTATTCTCAATTTCAAAATTTCTTTCTCCTTATCAGATCACATGTCAGGGCATGTTCCAGCTTGTGGAGTGTAAAACACGGTCACTGGAGGCACAAGCAAGGGTAGCCAGTTCACCACAACATCTAGCCAAGCCCTGGCAACCTAAAATGTGTCACACAGAGGGCCTTTAACATTTATGAGGATGTGCCCAAGTTCTTCGGAAATCCTCAAGTCCCGTCACAGAGTCGCTCTATGACCTTAAAGGGTTATGTGAACAGGCAGGAGGCTCTTGGAAATCCCCTTTGGTGTCCTGGGGTTCACAGTGTAGAAACACAAGTCTGGCTTAATCTAAAAAGTCTACAATGTTGCACCAAAATGGGAGTGTCTGCTTCCTTGTGGTCACCTTAAACCCTTATACCAGCTTTTCTTTTTAGATATAAGTACTAAAGGCAATCAATGCTGGTACATAGAAGGCACTCAGTAAATTTTTTAAAAAATAAATGAGCAAATGAATGATTATGAATATGCATGCTTGAAAAATCATTTTCCTCCAACACTCGTTGTGGAAACACATATTCTTGCCTATACATCTCCTTTCCTGAGAGCCAGACTCTGGGAGAGGCTGGCACACCCCAACACACAGCCCCAGTCTGCCTGGAGCCTGGAGGGATGGTGGGAATTGCATGCTTTGATTCCGTGTCTTAAGGGACGTCAAGCCCACGGGCCTTGTGACTTCAGGCACAGGATGCCCAGATCCGTGTCCCACGGCTCTGGCCTGGGTCCCGGGAGTCACTCCGGCAGTCTGGGCCGCATGACTGACAGCTTCTTCTTGTGCTTGTGCCTCCGCAGGCTGCGCCTCTCCTTGTCCATGTCAGTTCCTTCGCAGCCACCAGCCACAAGAAGAAGCTCTATGTGATTGGGGGAGGGCCCAATGGGAAACTGGCCACGGACAAGACCCAGTGCTATGACCCTTCAACCAATAAGTGGAGTTTAAAGTCGGCCATGCCGGTGGAGGCCAAGTGCATCAATGCAGTGAGTTTCCGGGACCTCATCTACGTGGTTGGTGAGTGATGGCTTCTTATCCCTTTGAGTATCTTAGACCCTGATGAGCTGCAGGATTTAGGGGGCGCTGCGAAGTGTCATCAGCACTGGCAAGTGGCTACCCACCCCCCCACCCCCACCTCGGGGGCATCCACTCTGGCTTTCTGGAGGGCCACCAATCTGTTTCTCTTGGCAAGATGGCGGACCTGACCTAACCAGAAGTCGAATTTGGGTGGTTCGCGGGGAAGAAGCCAGAAAACGGCGGGGCCTCACCCCGTACCTCTTCCTCTCCAGGTGGGGCCATGAGAGCGCTGTATGCCTACAGCCCCCTGGAAGACGGCTGGTGCCTGGTGACCCAGCTCAGCCACGAGCGGGCCAGCTGCGGCATCGCGCCCTGCAACAACCGGCTCTACATCACCGGCGGCCGCGACGAGAAGAACGAGGTCATCGCCACGGTGCTGTGCTGGGACCCCGAGGCCCAGAAGCTGACGGAGGAGTGCGTCCTGCCCCGCGGGGTGTCCCACCACGGCAGCGTCACCATCAGGAAGTCTTACACCCACATCCGGAGGATCGTGCCCGGCGCGGTGTCTGTCTGACTGCGGGAGGGGAGGCTGGGGACACACCCGGGTGGCCCCTGGCCCTCCCTCGGCACCTCCCACCCTCGGCCTGGCCCCCTTCGGACAGCAGGCTCGGCCTGAGTTTGAGGCCACACACGTCAGGGGCCCTTGGCGGCTCACCTTGGGGACGCACCTTGGCAGTCGCAGCTTTGGGTCGCTTGAGACCAGCCAGGAATGCTTGCGTGACCTACCTCCAGAGGGAAGGCGGAGGAGAACTATTTGACATCGACACGCCTACCCTCCGCCTGGCTCTATGCCAGGCACTTTGGTATATCAAGGCATTTCACCCCCATAATGACCTGGCGATGGGATGTTATCACTCTTGTTTTACAGGTGAGAAAAAAATCGAGTTTTAGAGAGGCAAAGTGGCTTGCCCTAGCTCGCTCAGAGAGTGAGAAGCTAAGCCACTAAACCGGGAGGTCCAAAATCCAGGTCTCTCAGCTGCAGAGTCAATGCGCTTTCCACCATGACGCCTAACTCCAAGCAGGAAAAACAAAAACAAAACCCAGCTCATTACTTGTTCCAGCAAGGCTGCTAAGAGATTCACTAGGCAAGGCAGGAAAATAAAGGTGTTCCTGTTTTCTTTTCTTTTCCTTATAGAGCCAAGGAGCCTCTTGGTCTCATCAGGAGCATCTCCTGGGGACTTGCCCTTGACAGGTGTGGGAAATGGGTTTGAAAAGGCCTGTTGGCTTTGAAAGGGATGAAAGACTTGTGTTCTGTCCTCCTCCCATGGAAAGCCTCTATTTTTTGTGATCACAAGATGGCCCATTTTAGACTAGAACGGTCACTGCCAGACAGAATTGTGTCTTCAGCACAGGCTGGTGCCCTGGCCTCTTAGTGTGTCCAGTGGTTGTAATGCAATGTAGATGAGAGGTTTCTAGAGACTCAGACCACGGTTTTGTTTTTACGATGTAAACGTCTGAACACTGCTGACCACTGCAGGAATGAGAGACTTCTTGGCAGGTATACTTTCTAGTTTTTAGACAGTGATTTGAATCCATGTTCTAGAGACCCCATCCTCCTGAAACCTTCATTTTCTAGATTTTTAAAAAACCCTCCTACTTGATTTTTTGGATCGGTATGGCTCAATTGTGAATCAAAGAACAGAGTCTGTCCTTTACTCTAAGAATAGAACTTTCAAATGAGCTCACTGGAAATTCATTCTAATCCCCAAGTTGGAGAAATAGGTTAAGATATCCTATTTCACATGCTGTATTTAAAAAGCAACAATGAAAGCTACATAGTAACTGCATTACCCAGTGTCATTTATTTTCATCATATGATTTCAATTCTCTTTATAGAGTTAGTTTTATTTCATGTCTGATGTATCATATTTTTGCCTTCTCAGCAGTTTGGGAAGTCAGAGGTACCAAAGTTGATAGTGAATTTAATTTTCATTAAAAAGTCATGGTTAGAAGAAGCTAATGTTCAAAACAGATTTTAAAACATGGGAAATTATAAACGAGATTTCTGTTTATGCCTAGATTGTTGAGGATAAATATAAATGTGTATTAGGTATGTGAAAGGCTCTGTACTTTAGAGTCAGTCATGACAGTTCAACTCTCTGCTATGAAAAGTTAGTCAGTATAGTGCTGCAATAAGCATGCATGTGCAGGTATCTTTTTCATAATAGCCAAAATATGGAACCAACCATGCTGCCCATTGAAACTGGACTGGATAAAAAAAAAATGAGGTACATATACACGATGGCATATTACACAGCCATAAAGAAGGACAAACATATAGATTTCACAACAACTTGTATGGATTTAGAGTCTATAATACTCAGTGATCTATCACAAAAACAAAGAACATAATACCGTATATTCTCACTCATAAGCGGACCTTGAACCTTTACCATAATAATTATAAGAAAGGGATTGGCAATAGTGGGATACTGCCGGGAAGGAGGTTGGGGCACAACAACCATAAGGGTACTTGATCTCAAACCACTTGTATACCTAATCCTGAATTGTACCCCATATCTTTAAAATAAAATATAAAAGAAAAAGAAAAGTTAGTCAGGACAATACAGCATATCTGTGGACATTTAGAACACACTATCCTTTACTCACAAGCACTAATCACCTTCACAAAGCTCTATACTAGAACAATTTGATCTACTTCAAGTCAGCAAACATTCCTGGATTTTTTTCATTTGTCAAGCCTTAAGGACAGCAAGGAATGACAAATTTCCATACTAGAGACACTCAATATGGGAAAATAGGCCACCAATCAATATTCTCATTTTTCTTTCCTTCAAGTTAGCTAAAAACGAGATGCATATGAAGTTATAAGTCTGTATCCAAGTCTTGATTGCCTTTCAAGGGGTTCAGGAAGTTGTGCAGTTAGGTCAACTAGTGGCCGTTGCTTACATGTTTGTCTCTTTGAGATTATTGTGAGAACCATTTGTGAGTCACAGGAAAAGTCAACCTTATTCCAAAGTCTATTTCAGGGAGGAACTTCCAAAGAGGAAATTCAGTGACGACATTATTGGCATACACAGAGAGCCTCCCCTCCAAAAGGGAGTGTCACGGAGTGGATGGCAGTCCTTTGATAAGAGCAGTCAGCAAACTTTGAGCCCATTAGCAGGCCAACCCTATGATGGAAAGGTAAAAATGTAGGCTCTTTGTGATGTGAACCTGATTCTAAATGCAGAACCCAAGTGTCAGAACTAGTTCGGAATCCTAGATGAATACAAGGGGAGGACTTTTTATGATTTTTACAACACCAGATATACAGGTGAATTGTGGTAAAAGTTCAGGTAGCTGGCACTAAAGATATAGGAATTCCTAAGAATGGCATGGGATAGAGAACAGATATGGCTATTAAGAAGATTTAGGGACTGAGCTTTGTGGCTCATGCTTGTAATGCCAACAGTTTGGGAGGCTGAAGTGGGAGGATCACTTGAGGCCAGGAGTTTGAGATCAGTCTGGGCAACATAGTGAGACCCCATCTCTATAGAAAATTTTTAAAATTTTGAAGCTATGGGGTACAATTCAGGGTTAGATACATAAGTGGTCATTGCACAGGTGAAGTTTGGGTCTCCCATTGGCCCATACTTCACCTGGTTTGGGATCAGATACTCTTGTTACTATTATGTGGCTTCCCTCCACCCCCAGCAGTGACCCGCCCCTGCCAATTCTTTTCACGTAGAATTACAATAAATGTTCAAGGTCCACTTATAGCTAGTGCACACCTATAGTCCTACCTACATGGGAGGCTGAGGCAGGAGGATTCCTTGAGCCAAAAGGTTGAGGCTGCAGTCAGCCATGATCATGCCACTACACTCCAGCCTAGGTGATGGAGGGGGAACCTGTCTCAAAAAACAAAGCAAAGAAAAAAGAAAGAAAGAAAGAAAGAAAGAAAGAAAGAAAGAAAGAAGAAAATCTAAGGTTTTGCACTTGAAGCTTTTTTGGGGAAAAAGATGTTCAAGTCATTTTAGGGAAACTTTATAAATATAATCATTAGGGTTTTTGCTTCTAGGTACTAGCCAGGGACGGAAGTTCTTAAAAATCTAATTTCCATTCCAAGATAATAAAACAACAAACAAAATAAATTTGCGGCAAGTTAATTCTTATAATTCACACCACCAGTAGGGGGAAAGCCAAGCTGAGAATTACCCAGAGACAGACAACTCTGGGACAGAGTTGAACAGGGTAGAATAGGGTGGAATGTTCTAGCATAGCAGACTGGATATTGAGGGGGGTCCTGAGAGTGGATACAGCACACCTGGTTGGGAAGAAAAGGATGGGGTAGGAGGAAGTCAGATTCCAAGGATGCATCTAGAAAAGATATCAGGGGGCTGGGCTGTGGAGTTTGTCGCTAGTCTCAAGGGTAAAGGAGAATAAGGAACAGGGAAGGAGAGGAAACAATAATCTACTTCCTGGAGCAGAGGCACGAGCTAGGACAGGTCTAGCAGCTGGGCTAACTCACTGTGAGCCTCTGAGCTGCTTGGCTGGGCCTCCCATCCTAGAGAGAATGAGGCCCAGAGTCTTTGGTAGAGTAAGACCTGTTGACGAGGTTCCCCTCAAATGAGGGACCCCAGTGGCCAAGCCTGGCCTAAAAAGGGCAGAGAACTAAGCTCACCAAAGCACCAACAGATAAACGTTCCCTTCTTAGCTTTCATCCATTCTGGTCTCAATGGCTTCAGGGAACACACATGCACACAGTTCCCTTGCGCTCAAAGCCAAATATGCTCTCAGAGGAAATGCAAACCTCATTTTCTTATAGCTGTAAAAGGATAGCTTAGTATTTTATAAAAGTCTCTGAAGTACTGTTGTTAGCTATTTACTTATCCTGCTTTATTTTAAAAATGAAAATACTCAATAGAATTTTAAAAGTGGATAAATACCACAGAAAATTTTAAAATATTTTAAGTCCTAACTTAGGGTTGCCAAATCATTTTCCCCCTTAACATCTGGGTATCATGTTAGATCTCATAATTTGAAGAGTCAGCTTTCATAGGAATCCATGTCTCGACTATGGCAACTGCAAAACCAGTTGTGGCAGGCCAGATTTTCATATTTATAAGTATAAATAGTTAACACTCGGTAAAACAAATTCTTTAAGCATTTTGGTTACATAAGGTTGTATTTTTTAAAAGTGATCAAACTAAGGGTATTGTTTATGGGTAAAACCAACAGCACACAAATAAAGTTTTTATTTATTAAATAAAATATGTATAAAATGCATAAGAATATGTTGTATGCAATCACTAGGTGATTTTTGGGGGGGGGGGGTGGCTGGTTTTGGTTGCTATAAGTAAGTGGTGACCAAACAATAGTTAATTTAGCGGGTGGAAATTTAAAACTTTCAGTTGGTTCAAGGGGGTTTAGGTAAATTCGTAGGTTAAGATTCACCAGGTATGGTTTATAGAATGGCAAACAGTAGACAGCTGTTCCCTTCCTAAAGCTGATTGCCCCTCTGAGCAAGCTTTTAACAAACCATTTACAAACTGTGTGACTGTCAGCCTGCCTGGCCTCACCTCTTCCTACAAGAGGCCCCTTCTCAGGTTTTTGATTCTCGTCTAGCCTCTTAGCCCTGCTTCCATCAATACTCCCTGAGTTGTCTCTGAATCCCTCACTGACCTGTGCTGCTCAAATTGGGGCACATGTAACTTGAGAGATGAGATACAGTGCTGACCACTGGAAAACTTGTCACTAATTTATTTTTAATTTTTATTTTATTGAAACGGGGTCTTGCCGTGTTGCCTAGGCTGGTCTCAAACTCCTGGGCTCAAGCCATCTTCCCACCTCGACCTCCCAAAGTGCTGGGATGCCTAGGACTTGTCATCAATTTGTTTGTGTCGGTTACAATGCCAAGGTAACCAAACACAATGTATTTGAAAATGGAACTTTAAAGAAATCTTGGGTTCCGTGAATAGCTTCAGACATTTCCTCCTGGGTCTCCCTGGAGGCAGATGTCCTGCCTTAGGGATTCTTAGTGGAAAATCTTGAGAAGCACAGCCTCAGCTCCCTCACAGGTG